AGTCTTTAGGGGGATTCTGGGCTAGGTGCTCTTCCCACTCGACTTCAACCAACTTGTACAGCTCCATGGTGGCCTGGGCATCTTCCACAGAGGAATGTCCGCTCTTCCCAACCTGAGCAAGCAAGGAAGACAAGAGCATGAAGCAACAAGAAACTGTTTCTTCCTTTCCAGTGGGCTCTGCACTCCTCTTTCCCCTGCCTCCGCTACACAGTTTCTTCTGCAGTCAGCAGGCTACAAAGACAGAACTCTGGTGGGGCCCTACTCCTTATGTAATTTCAGGGGTTCAACTCCTAGGAAGTCTTTGCCACTGTCTACTTCAGTCCTTTCTGTGGCGGCATGTATAAACCATATTAGGTTCTGTAGAGCCAGAACATACCAGGTCAAAGACAGGTCTTCTGAGTCTTCCACTTTCCCTAGTTCCTTAACTGCTCTATATGTGATCTATGTCCACACCTTCCTGCCAGATGGGCCACCTTTTGCTAAATGATAGCATGTAAAATATGAGCGGTCCTTGCATCCACTACATGGTCTCTTAGACCACCACTGCTACCTGCTTTCCTCCTTACTTAGGGTTTTATATCTACTTATGACTTTTTCCCTTTTCCAAAGCACACTTAGAAACATTCTATGAGGTAGACAACAGGAATTATTATCCTGTGTACAGATGGAGAGACACTACTGGGCCCTTCATCCAAAGCTCTTCCCATCATAGCAGCCCATCTGGAGCTCTACAACTACAGGACTTCTGGGATCAGAGTCTGGCTAGGGGCATCAACGAGAGCCATGTCCAAGATGGGGGAGGGGGATGTGGGGAGATGCTACCTGGATATCCCGGTTTAGCAGCTTCTTGGTGAGATGCTTCAGAGACATGGTGGCGTTCTCCGGGCAGTCAGCCTTCCGGTTGAGGGGGGGGATATGGGAGGTGTCACGGGTGAGGGACTTGGGGTGAAAGTACTGAAGGGCTTTGAAGTCGTTGTGGATGGCATGTCCCACCACTATCTTCCCTGTGAGTATCTTCAAGATCTGGAACAAGTGTGGAAGAGAGTGGTGAGAAGCAAGACTGCGGTGGAACCCCTGCATTGTGAAAGCCCAACATGACCATCAAACCCTTCTGGATTCTTTCACCAACTGCCCACCTCTCCATCCTCGAAATGCTTCCTCCCACAAGTTTTCTTTCTTCTGCAATCCACTTCCTCTTCCGCAGGTGATTTCCATGGTGTACCCTGTTTGGACTCATACTGCCAGTGGCTCTTTACCTTCTTATTGATCTCCACCCCATGACATTAATTTGCCTTCAGTCCTAAGTGACACTCATGTTTAAGATGTCCATGTATTTAGTTCGGTTCTGGCTTGCTACATGAAGTCCTTTAACTATTACCATTATGCTGGCCTTAGACACATGGCTGGGACCATGGCTCCAGGGAGGCTAACAAAAGCCCAAAATTACATGCAATTAGATGTGTACGGGTACTAGTGGAAGAGAATCTGTGGCTTTCATCAAATTCTCAGAGTCTACAAACCATAAAAAATTAAGAATCACGTATAAACTAAAGTTGCAGAAGGAACCTTATTCACACTACTTTTGGAACCAAGTAAAATAACTTCTTAATATTTCAGGAAACTTTTTTTTTTGAGACAGAGTCTTGCTCTGTTGCCCACGCTGGAGTGTACTGGTGCGACCTTGGCTCACTACAACCTCCGCCTCCCAGGTAGCTGAGACTACTGGCATCCATCATCACGCCCGGCTAATTTTTGTATTTTTAGTAGAGACAGAGTTTCACCATATGGGCCAGGCTGGTCTCGAACTCCTGACCTCAGGTGATCTGCCCGCCTGGGCCTCCCAAAGTGCTGGGATTACAGGTGTGAGCCACCACACCTGGTCTTCAGGAAACTACACGTCACCACACCTAGCCATTTTAGGCTCTTAAAGCAGGAGGACATGCTACCAATGAGGACAACCAAAGAACATGCCACAGGCTCTGAAGATCATTCTCAAAATGAGGTTCCAAACAGGTTTTCAACAAAAGTGACAGTCCTGCATAGCCTCCCAAAGGGACCCCCTTTGAAGGGGCTAGGCTCATCTGGACATACCTTAGTCTCATAAACCCAGCTTGGCACTGGGGAAGTGCTTTATGACGAAAACCAGACGTAGTCCCGTGAACTAGATATTTAGTTACTCCTGACTTCACCTACTTACTGTCCACCACCACCTTCATTTCTTATTAACCTCGACATATAGCCCTCATCAAAGCTGGGCAGATTTGCTGTCTCAGACCGGTCCCATCTTCCGCCTCTCCTGTGCCTTTGCTTGGCTGTGCCCCTTTGTGCCCAGGATGTTCAACTCTTCTTTCTGTCTTTTCTAAAACAGTCAGTCACCTCACCTCTAATGAACCTTCTCCAACTGACCGCACATAAGGCATTATGGGAACAGCGTGTCCAGAGAAGGCAGAGTGTGGCCCTGAAACTGCAAAGACGTGGACCAAGGGCGCCCTCTGGTGGCCCCCTGAGACCAGCAGGTGCCCCTCTTGCTCTCCCTTCATTTCCTCCTTTCACCCCTCCTAGCTCACTCTCCTTTCCTGTTCATGCCTTGTGCTCCCAATAACCAGCACAGGGCTAGAAGTTAGATGACAACCCAAAGTGCTGGCCCTCTGCTGTTTATGCCCTTCACTGGTTACCTGTTCCAGTTGGACAAATATACCCCAGCTCCTCCTGTCAACTTTCTGCCCTCTCTTACCACCACCACTTTCCGCACTTGCCCCACGTTACTTTTTGCTTGGGAAGAGCTCTCCACCTTTCCTGTCTAAAGCTTAGGGTCCAATTCACAAGGTTTTTCCAAATCAAGCCCTTTCTCCTGACACTGATGTCTGTAGCTCTGTCCAGTTACATTACTTACTGTTATTTCTCTATGCAGATTCCTAGTTCCCCAGACCCAATTTGGAACCTAAAATTGTTTGTTTGTCTGTCTGAGACAGGGTCTCACTCTGTCGCTCAGGCTGGAGTGCAGTGGCAGTGGTGTGATCTAAGCTCACTGCAGCCTCGACCACCTGAGTAGCTGGCACTACAGGCATGCACCATCACACTTAGCTAACTTTTTTGTAGACGAGTCTCGTTTTGTTACCCAGACAGATCTTGAGTTTCTGGGCTTGAGCGACTCTCCTGCCTCAGCCTCTCAAAGTGCTGGGATTATAGGCAAGTGCCACCGCGCCTGGCTAAAATAGGTCTTGACCAATGAAGTTTGTGACACCAGCTAATTGTACCTTCCTGACTTTCACGGCTCCTTCCACCGACAGGGGGCCTTCTTCAATAACTGATAGATTCTCCTCCCTCCCTCCACAAACCTCTGGTGTCTTCCCATAGTGATATCCTTTGCTGAATAATGATTTACACCTCTCTCCATCCACCTCCCTGCCACCATCAAGCCCCATGCTTCTTACCTGGCCTCGAGCAATCTTGAAGGGTGTGGCATTCACCATGTGCTGCTTTCGGATACCACTCCATCTGGTTCGGTAGTCCACAATGTGGCAGGGGGGAAGAATGTACTCATCATAAAGCACATCTCCGTTGTAGTTGACAATGCTACATCGAGCTAAGGAACTAACATGCCCCTTTGGTCCTGTGCCCACCATCTCACAGTCAATTGCCACCATCTTCTGTGGCAACTTCTGGGATATTCTGGAGCATTTATTCTCTGAATGAGCTTGGGTGGAGTTCTGTGGGGCATTCTTCTGAGGATGGTTCTTCTTAGAGGATTTCTTCTGGGAGCCCTTCTTCTGAGAGCGGGTTGGGTGGCTATTGATCTTTGGAAGGGCACTCTGGAATTCCCCCAGCAAATCTACTTTAGCAGCAACAGAATCAGCCTTTTTTGAAGGGGCAGGGGTCAGCCAAGACACTGCAGCTTTCTTGTCCAGGGGCTGTCCTGACCCATTGCTGCAGGCAGCTGTCTTCTTCTTTTTTGGGAAGGAAGGGGTCTTCCAAGTGCCATCCACCATAGGAGTTTCCCCTTTCTTTGGAGGTTCAGAGTGCAACTTAGGTGCCTTGCTAGGGGGTTGGTTCTTTTTACTCAGAAAGCCTCTCCGTTCTAAGAGCCTCCGCTTCTTGACAAAATTTCGGTGCTTGGCATTTCCTTCTAATGCCTTTTTGGGAGGAGGTTCCCCAAAATCCAGATTGAGCAGTAAAGTAGACATAGGGACAATGGGAGGTGGAAGAGCAGTTGGGAAGAGTGGCTTATGGATGAAAAGAGGATGTTGGACTCATTCTCTGCTGAATCCTACTGTCCAACATGTGGAGGTCTGTAGTACACCCTGGGGAAGAAAGTGATCCTGGTGATTGAGCTCCTAGGCCTGGGAGAAAAATGAGGCAAGATCGATCTCCGTAGGACTTATGGAAGGAAAGACATCAGAGCAATCTCTCAGACAGAGGAGAAATGAAAACATAACATGAAATGATGGAGGAAGCAACAGTGTTAGCCAGCAAGCCTGGATTCTAGTGAAGCCCAATTCACCAGCCGTTTGGTCTTAGTAAGGTCATTACCGCGCTCTAGGTTTGAATCTCATTTGTAAAATGAAGGGACTGGAGGGGCCCATAGAGCTCGAACCCTCTATGAGTCTAAGAGGCCAGAACACGTGAGCTCTATACTCCGCCTAGGAAGGGAACATCTAGGTACGCTCGAAAACAGTGAGAAGTATGGCGTAGATAACCTCTGGGCTACCCAGGCATCCGCAGCGTGGCCCACGAATAGAGACACAAATCCAGGCATCCCTTTCCCTTGGCTCCAGGCCGGAATTGGGGACAATCTCCACATGCATCTCACCCAAGTCCTCCCAAGCAAGGACCTTGACACCACCTACCAGCGGGGGGGTGGGATCGAGGCTCGAGGCAGCCCACCTGGATAAGCATACTTCGGTCCCCGCGGTACAGATCGCCCTCTCACACTCACGAACCTACCTCCCAGATGGGTTTAGCTAAGGCCGGAAGCGTCCAGAGCCGGATGCGGAAATCGGTGCGCGCCGACGAAGCCCGGGAAGGCAGGCGCGCGGGTTAGAACGCGCCAGAGGTCGGCGCGCGCGCACCCGCACCGCCCCGACCTCAGGTAGCGAGGCCAGTGATTCGGAGTGTGTGAGGACCGGCAGTGGCGGCGGAGGAGGGGGCGGTGTGGGTGGGGGCGGGGGCGGGATGCGCTCCCCGGCCCCTCTAGCCCCGTGGTGGTACAACGCGAAGGTGTGGGAAGGCCGCGACAAACCGGAACTACAGCCAGCCGGACACCTCCGGCTTCACTTCCGGCAGAGGAGAGGCGTGTACGGGAAGGGGCGGGAACTGGAACTTGGCCCATCTCGTTGTGAGCTGAGCTCCGCGGCACGCTTTTGTGGCGTCATTGCACTGTTACCCCGCCCTACGTGTCTCCGACGCTGACACCTTCGCACTGTGAAACGTCGCAACCTGTGACCTCTTGGGGGCGCCTCAAATCTTCAACTGCAGCATGGGATCCCGGAAAGGCAGCGTCGGAGACTGGACCCAAAACTCTTCCTGTTCTGCCTGCAGAGCTGAGCCCCGTCCGGGTCCTGGACCCGCGCGGTAGTGACCCTGGATCCCTGTTCACTGCGTTCTCGCTTCCCGCGCTGCCTTCTGGACCGCGGGATGCCGGGTATCTCCGCCCGAGGCCTCTCTCATGAGGGGAGGAGGCAGCTAGCTGTTAACCTTACCCGTGTCCTGGCGCTCTACCGTTCCATCCTGGATGCCTACATCATCGTGAGGCCACAGGGGCGTGGGTGGGGTGTCTCTGGTCGTGTGGTTGGCTAGGTGTCCACGTCAGGGAGAGAATCTGGAGAATTAGCCTCTGATCTCTTTCCTTCTATGAGTTTCAGTCTTTTGTCTGTACAAGGAGGGGTTCAGCTGGCATAAATAATATTTCTTTTTTTTTTTTTTTTTGAGACGGAGTCTCGTTCTGTCCCCCAGGCTAGAGTGCAGTGGCGTGATCTCGGCTCACTGCATAAATAATATTTCTAATACCTACCTAGATTATTTTTGTAATCTTCCCAGATCCAAGGTAATAAAATGCGTGGACATTGGAACCATGCTGCAACTATGTTGAACTCTTCTTGGAGCATGTGAGGTGTTCCAAGAACACACATGTTATTCATCCAGGCTTTGAATAAATTCGTGGTTTTGTGGTATAGTAGACAGGCCTGGCTCTGGAATCAAAAAGGCTTGGTCTGGAATCCTGCCTCCCCTATGATGTTAACTTTAGGCCTCCCTAACCCCCAACTTGTCCTAGCCCAGGTTTCCTCAGCTATACAGTGGATCCCAGTCTGAAGGATCATTGTGAAGAATAAATGAGAGAATGTGTAAATGGTACCACCATCCACTGAATTGTTTAGACCGCAAACCCAGAGGCCATCCTTGATTCAGCGCTGTCCTTCATTGATCCACAATCCAGTCCTTCAACAAGTCCTCTTGGCTCTGTTTTCAGAATAGATCCCAAATTCATCCATTTGTCCCCACCTCCATTGCTGCCACCCTAAGCCAAGCCACCATCACCTCTGTTCTGAACTACTTCCTAACCGATCTCGCTGTGTGCTTACCTCTGCCCTGCCATAACCAATTCTTCACTGAGCAGCTAGATCGATAGCATTCAAACGTAAATCTGATCACGACAATCCCTTGCTTCCTAGATACTTTTATGCAATCCTGATTCCTTACTATTACCAATAAAGCCCATGATCTGACTCCTACTGTCTCTTCAACTCTATCCCATTTTATTCTCTCACACATTTCACTGTGCTATACCTCTGCTGGCCTGATTTCTGCTCTGCCAATATGGCAGGCATCTGGACCTTTGCACTCACTGATCTTCCTCCACAGAAAGGCAATCGCAGAATCGTTAAGAGCAAGGACTCTAGAGTAAAATTGGTTTCAAATCCCAGCTCAGGCTGGGTGTGATGGCTCATGCCTATAATCCTAGCACTCTGGGAGGCCGAGGCGGGTGGATTGCTTGAGCTCGGAGTTCGAGACCAGCCTGGGCAACACGGTGAAACCCCGTCTCTACTAAAATCCAAGAAAAAAAAAAAAGAAAAAGCTGGGCTTGGCAGCACACACCTGTAGTCCCAGCTACTCAGGAGGCTGAGGCAGGAGAATTGCTAGAACCAGGGAGGTGGAGGTTGCAGTGAGCTGAGATTGCACCACTGCACTCCCGCCTGGGTGGCAGAGTGAGACTCCATCTCTAAAAATAAATAAATAAATAATCCCAGCTCAGCTATTTGCTAGCTTTTGGACGTGGGCAAGTTACTTAAGTGCTGTGCCTGTTTCTACATCTGTAAAATGGGGGATACAAAATAATACCTACCTCAAAGTGTTGTTTAAAGGATCAAATGCGTTAATACCCGTCAAATGTTTACAACGGTGTCTGCCAGAGAAGGTGTTAAATAAGTGTTTGCTATTACCTGTATTTTTCTTTACGTGCCTAGCACCTATTCATCCTTCCAGTCTCAGCTCAAATGTCAACTCGTCAGACAAGTCTTCCCTCATCATCCTATCTAAAGTAGTCCTTGCCCAAACTCTCCATTACATTACTGTTTCATTAGTGTTTTGTCTATGTGACATATGACAAACAAATAAAACTTTGTCTGAAGTTTTGTTTGTTTGTTTTGGTTTGGTTTTTTTGAGGCGGAGTCTTGCTCTGTTGACCAGGCTGGAGTGCAGTGGCATGATCTAGGCTTACTCCACCCTCTGCCTCCCAGGTTCCAGTGATTCTCCTGCCTCAGCCTACTGGGCAGCTGGGATTATAGGCGCACGCCAACATGCCGGCAAATTTTTGTAATTTTAGTAGAGATGGGGTTTCACCATATTGACCAGGCTGGTCTCGAACTCCTGACCTCAGGTGATCTGCCTGCCTTGGTCTCCCAAAGTGCTGGGATTACAGGCGTGAGCCACCATGCCCGGCCGAAGTGATTTTTTTAATGTAAACTCTGCAGGAGCCAGAATCTTGTCTCAGGTTCACTGTTGTATTCCCTGAGCCTACAATAGAGCTTGATGTATAACCAAAACACAGCCCCAGAATTTGTGGTGGACAAATGAATGAATAAAAAGACACCAGTGTCTGGCACGTATAATGGCAGGTTACTAAGTGGTAATGTACTGATACTGTGTGTCAGTCACTGTGGTAAGTGTTAGGGATGCAGATGGAAAGATCCCATCCCATCCCTCCTCTTAAGAAATTCAGTTTAATAGAGAAAACAGACATAAATAAGTGCAGAAATTGCTAAAAGAAGTGTGTCCAGAATGCAATCTGGACTCCAAGGAAACAGAGTTAAGCCACCAGAGTTGGGGAGGCTGGAGCAGACTTCAGAGAAGAACTGACTTGGCTGAGTAGGAGGTACCTGCCGGTCACAGTGGCCCTATGTGGCAGCAGTGCTGGGAAGAGGCAGGCAGTGAGGTGTGGAGTTGAGAGTGAGGTGGGAAAGAATGGAAGTGGTAGTAGTTTGCTAATTGCTTCTCCCCTTCTTCTGTAGGAATTTTTCACAGACAACCTATGGGACACACTCCCTTGCTCATGGCAGGAAGCACTGGATGGACTGAACCCACCACAGCTGGCCACAATGCTGCTGGGGATGCCTGGGGAAGGGGAGGTCATCAGGTATGGGCTAGAAGGGCCCTGTGCTGGGGAACTCAAGGCTTTGAGCCCTGCAGTGAGCGTATTGCTCAGAGAGTCTCATAAGGTCTTCCCCGGCCTTGGGTTGTAAACTGGTGCACTCAGATGCGATGGGACTATTCACTGGAGGCCTGGGCTGGACTATCTCAGGTACAGGTCAGTGTGGCCACTCACCCTGCTGGCCCTGAAGTCCACAGCCTGTGCCCTGGCCTTTACCCGGACGCCTGGCTTTCAGACCCCCTCAGAGTTCCTGGAGAACCCCAGCCAGAGCTCCCGACTAACAGCTCCATTCCGGAAACATGTCAGGCCCAAGAAGCAGCATGAGATCCGGAGGCTGGGAGAGGTGAGGAGATGGCTGGAGCATGGGTGGTGTCTGGGAACCCAGGGACTCCTTAAGCGTGGCTTACAAAGATATGTGCCCTTTACTTCACATGCAAGGCCAGAGGCCCTAGACATTCCTTTACCTCAACAGATATAACTATTATCATATTTTGATGCTGGGGTTCTTTTTCATCCTTTTGTGGGGTTAGTTGGTAGCTAGGTCTGAATCACAGTCTCATTCCTGTTCTCAAATCTCCATAATCCGCTCATGGCTTAACGCAGGGTTCTTGTTCTGTGGGGGAGATTGAATCACTGACCTGTAAGGCAAGGAGAGTGGGCCTGAACCTGGATCAGGTCCACTCTCCTTGCTTCCACCCTCACCCCTATATCTTTCTTTCCAAATCTGTCATCACATCCGGGGTACCCTGTGTCCATCTTTCTTTGTCATCTCTTTCTCCTCCACTCTCCCTATGGGTGTTTGCCCCAGGAGTCAAGAACCAGTGGCCAGGAGACCTTTGTTCCCTCCTCTTTCAGTTGGTGAAGAAGCTGAGTGATTTCACAGGCTGCACCCAGGTTGTAGACGTGGGCTCAGGCCAGGTGAGCCAGAGTCTTGCTGTACTGTTTTTTTGAGTCATGGGGAGATAGAACACCTGGAAGGCAGGTTATTGGGCCACAGGCCCAGCGAGGCAGGTGTCAAGAAGTGGTGGAACCAAGCAGGGTAGATTTTTTTTCTCTTTGCATAATTTGTTTTAAGCCAGTCAGATTTAAATGGGGGAGTTATATACCAACTTAAGCCACACTGATGTTAGTAAGTTCTGTAGGGTAAAATTTAAGCCTTCTGTCGGGCCTGGGACCCAGGTGTCCAGGTTACCCCTGGGGAGGGTGACAATGGATACGGCACTGAACAGGGCTGTTTCCGTCTTCCTCCTCATGACTCCAGGGCCATCTCTCCCGCTTCATGGCTCTTGGCCTGGGGTTGATGGTGAAGAGCATCGAAGGGGATCAGAGACTGGTGGAGAGAGCCCAGCGGCTGGACCAGGAGCTTCTGCAAGCTCTGGAGAAAGAGGAGAAGAGGAACCCGCAGGTAGGCCACCCCTTCCTGCCACCTGGACTGTGGGAGGAGGGGCTGCTTGGCTGGAATTGAGCACAGAGGCTGGATTCCATCTTTCAAATTTCTCAGCTTGAAGTGGTGTGGTCCCTAATTTCTATTACTTCTTTCCCAAGGTCCCCCCTTCCCCAGTGCCTCCCTTTATCTCAAAGTTATTTTCTATTTACAAAGTGCTTTCCACACCAATGTATACTTCTCACAACCTGTGAAGTGGCCACTCAGGTTTTAGACTCATTACAAATCAGAAAACTGGGTCTCAGAGATGAAAAGATGTACATGGTGAATGATAGGTCCAGGATTTATCCCATCTCCTGACTTGTGGTCCAGCCCTCTCCCGCACCCAGCTTATCTCCCACGTTCCTCCTTGGGGAATAACATGGAGGACAGATCCCTTCCTGTGGCCTGAGGTGGCCTAGGGACAGCAAACAGACTTCCCATCTGCCTTTGTCCTTTCCTGCCTCCACAGGTGGTCCAAACCAGCCCTCGTCACTCCCCACACCATGTGGTTAGGTGGGTAGACCCCACAGCCCTGTGTGAGGAGCTTCTGCTTCCACTGGAGAACCCGTGTCAGGGCAGGGCCCGCTTGCTGCTCACAGGCCTCCACGCCTGTGGGGATCTGAGTGTTGCCTTGCTGAGGCACTTCTCCTGCTGTCCTGAGGTGGTGGCCCTGGCCTCAGTGGGCTGCTGCTACATGAAGCTGAGTGACCCTGGCGGCTACCCACTGAGTCAGTGGGTGGCTGGGCTGCCTGGCTATGAACTGCCCTACAGGCTTCGGGAGGGGGCCTGCCATGCCCTGGAGGAATATGCTGAGCGGCTACAGAAAGCTGGCCCTGGCCTCCGAACTCACTGCTACCGTGCAGCACTGGAGACAGTCATCCGACGGGCCCGGCCCGAGCTCCGTCGGCCAGGCGTGCAGGGTATCCCCAGGGTCCACGAGCTCAAGATTGAAGAGTGAGGTTGGGGTACGGGGGTGGGGGGCAGTGGAGGGGAGATTTCTAACTGGAGATCTTCCGCCCTCACTTTCAGCATAGCCTAAAGAAAATCTAAGTATACCCAGAGGAGTGATTTGGAGTTCTCTGACCAGGGTACCTTCTCAAAATTTCTTTAAGGGAGTTGTCCCTCTTTTATCAGGAGACTAACAAAGAAATATGAAGTTTTGGCCGGGCGTGGTGGCTCATGCCTGTAATCCCAGCACTTTGGGAGGCTGACGTGGCCAGATCACCTGAGGTCAGGAGTTTGAGACCAGCCTGGCCAACATGGCGAAACCCTGTGTCTACTAAAAATACAAAAATTAGCCAGGCGTGGAGGCATGCGCCTGTAATCCCAGCTACTGGGGAGGCTGAGGCAGAATAGTTTGAACCCAGGAGGTGGAGGTTGCAGTGAACCGAGATTGTGCCACTGCACTCTAGCCTGGGCGACAGAGCAAGACTGTCTCAAAAAAAAAAAAAAAAAAAAAAAGGGTTTTTAAATGCTAAAAATATGGCTAGTTGGACAGAACTGGCTGAAAATGTTTAAATCAATTTACTATTGGACAGACAGCTCACAGCCAGAGAAACATTCAAAAATACACAGCCAGGTGTGGTGGCTCATGCCTGTAATCCCAGATCTTTGCGATGCCAAGGCAGGAGGATTGCTTGAGGTTGGGAGTTAGAGGCCAGCTTGGGCTACGTAGAGAGATACCTCTGTACAAAAAAACATAGGCAGGCATGGTAGCTCATACCTGTAGACCTAGCTACTTGGGAGGCTGATGTGGGAGGATTGAGGTGTTTGAGACTACAGTGAGCTATGATTGCACTGCTGCTTTCCAGCCTGGGTGACAGCAAGACCCTGTCTTAAAAAATACATATTTGGGAGGCTGAGGCGGGCGGATCACAAGGTCAGGAGATCGAGACCATCCTGGCTAACACGGTGAAACCCCATCTCTACTAAAAAATACAAAAAATTAGCCGGGCGTGGTGGCGGGTGCCTATAGTCCCAGCTACTGTGGAGGCTGAGGCAGGAGAAGGGCGTGAACATGGACGGCGGAGCTTGCAGTGAGCAGAGATCATGCTACTGCACTCCAGCCTGGGTGACAGTGAGACTCCGTCTCAAAAAAAAAAAAAAAAAAATATATATATATATATATATTCGTGAAAACGCATATTAGGGTAGAAAATAAAGCAAAGTTGGAATTAGGAACAAAGTTTAAGTAAGTGCGAGGTGACAGTTCTTAAAACCAAACTGAGTGCTGAATGTGACTGATCCCACAGATATGTGCAGCGGGGGCTACAGCGAGTGGGGCTGGACCCCCAGCTGCCACTGAATCTGGCTGCCCTTCAGGCCCACCAGGCCCAGGAGAACCGTGTGGTAGCCTTCTTCAGCCTGGCTCTACTGCTTGCCCCACTGGTGGAGACGCTTATTCTACTGGACCGGCTGCTGTACCTTCAGGAGCAGGGTGAGGGTGGCCTACAGCAGGGACCCAAGGACTATGGTGACTGGGGTTCTGGGACTCCTTCTCCAAGTCCCAGCTCCAATGTCTCCTGGGCCCAGCTAATCACTGTTGTGATCCTTGGACCCCACCTTTGAGTCACTAGTGGGTTGGGAGTAGGGGATTTGTTAAAAAATTAAGAATCCAGGCGGGGTGCAGTAGCTCATGCCTATAATCCCAGCACTTTGGGAGGCCAAGGTGGGTAGATCAATTGAGGTCAGGAGTTCAAGACCAGCCATGGTGAAACCCCATCTCTACTAAAAATACAAAAAGTAGCCGGGTATGGTGGTACACACCTGTACTCTCAGCTGTTCGGGTGGCTGAGGCAAAAAAAATTGCTTGAAGCCAGGAGACAGAGGTTGCAGTGAGCCAATATTGCACCGCTGTATTCCAGCCTGGGTGACAGAGACTCCATCTCGAAAAAAAAAAAATTAAGATTCCTACCAAATCAGCCTCTGGTGAACCTCCCTAAGGTGCATGTTAAGCAAGCTTCCCAGGCATCGAGAACCTACAATGCAAGAGGACTGCCTCCCAAGTCAGTGCCTTGGGAACCTGTGTTCCTTATGGAGAATGGGGTCTCCTTAGCCCGGCTGGATCCTCCCCCATGGGGAAAAGGGACTGTGCCTGTAGGCCTGGGCAGAAGAGGCTGAGTGAGTTTGGTTCATTCTTCCCCTTATGATTAAGCCCTTTCTTCCAGGTTTCCATGCTGAGCTCCTGCCCATCTTCAGTCCTGAACTCTCTCCCAGAAACCTGGTTCTGGTGGCCACCAAGATGCCCCTGGGTCAGGCTCTTTCTATTCTGGAGACTGAAGACAGCTGATGCAGCCTGAGGACACATCTCAGACCCCATCATCTGAAAGTGCCCAGATAGCACAGTGGCAGAGTACACCTCATACAGAGAAGCAGCATCCTGCATCCTCCTGAGTCGTGGTTCCTTCAGTTTCATCCCCTTTCTCTCCCTCCATGGATTATGTAATACAGTGTAAAGTTTTAATTTATTAAAAATTAGAAATCTTTGTTTCCTTCCCATTTCTGTAGGTAGATAAAAGGAGACGCGCACCCTCCCTGTGGCACTGCTGCAAGGGTGCTACAGTTAGGACTCACACGCCACTCCCCACTGGCCTCCCTAGCAGGTGGTGTAGGTGACAGTTTCTGTTACAGATCTCCATGGAGGGGACTTCTTTACCCCACTTTGGCCTCCAACTCAGAATCTGCAGGCCCTGCCCCTTGGGAGGGCTGCCTTAAGGCCAGCTAACTTCCATCCAGGTTCTGTCATAAACTCAGGGAAGAAGCTCCTTTCCTTCAGTCCCTGAGAGTGTGCTGGGATTAGGGGTGCCATTCTATCTCACAGCAGCTGTACACGGGACTCATAAACTGCTCTTTATTGGCATCTGAAAAAGAGATGCCTCAGCCTTCAAGGCTGGGACAGAAGTTGGGGAGGAGCTGCTGTCCCTGGGCTCAATACCAATAGACCTTCTTGTATTTCCGAGTCTCCTTGATCCCCATGGCCTCCATCACCTCCTCCTGTAGTGTCTTTAGACGGGGCACGTAGGTTCTTTCTAAAGCATCTTCCACTGATGTGTCTTTGGGGCCATCTGTTAAGCAAAGGAGATGGGTGGGAGGGCTTGCCAACTTTCATTAACATCCCCTACTCTCACTCCTAGCACCCACCCCTTACCTTCCTGCCCCTCACTTACCAATCCATGTTTCAGGGACGATGCCATCAGCTCTGGGAAATTCGGGTTTAGGGATAATTCTCCCCGATCGTGTGGAGACTCGTACCCGCTCTCCTGCTTCAGTAAATCTCCACTCAATCTCAGTGGGTTTCCTGGTGGATAGAAGAGGTGAGCCTGGCCTATGAGCCAGTTTCCTGCCACCCTCCAACCCAAAAGCAGAGTCAAGGGTTCAAAACACCAGGGTTACCACCGCGTTTCTCCACCTCTGTGTTGAGGTTACCCGCAGGGAATCATGTCCATGAGATGGTCCCTCTCAATCTCCAGAGCATCCAACCCATCATTCCCATTGGACAGCACTTTGTGGACCCAGAGGGTGAGAAACCCTCTGCCCAGAGCCCTGTCGCTTGCCTGTCCATAGGATCCACAAGTTTGACCTGGCGGTGGAGCAAGGGGGCTTCACTAGGGATCATGGTTCCTCGGTAATCCACGGTCTTGCCAATGTAGCGGTAATACTGTCCAAGAGAGGGGAGTGTCAGAAAACAAGGGGTGTGAAAGGGGTTTGCCCTTGCTACTCAGCACATTCAGCCCAAGTTGAAAAGTAGAAGGTTCAGTAATGCCGCCATCCCCTCAGCCAGTCTCCTGCCACCCTGCGCTGCTTGGAATGGAGAGGGACGGAGGAGACGGGCTTCCCAAGCTTCCCCATCCTCTCTCTCCACTTACTGTGTTCAGCCCTCCCACGACCACGCAGTTTTGCTGCCGGATAACTTGAACCACTTTGCCCTGCTTTCCGGCATCCTTGCCTTCTAGGATCTCCACCTGTGGGAAGATACGAAGGTTAGGGAGGGGGATCCTTGCCCAGGAGATTCCCCATCACTCTATGCCCTGTATGAGGCTCTCACCGTGTCCCCACAGAACAGATACCAGTCTTCATCAGAAATGGGTTCCACAACCACTGGGCGCCGCCTGCTCCATGGGGCGTTCTTCCTCTTGTCTGCCAAGGAGCCTGAGGGGCTCATTCCATAGCAGTAATTGGGGGGCAGAGTGACCTTGGATGCCAAGGCCAGTAGGGCAGAAAGACGCATGCCTGGAGGCTGTACGAAATCCCTTTGCCAGCAAAATGCTCAGAAATCTTCCTTGTCAGCTCTGGGTAGATGGATAGAAACGGGAGCAAAGAGGCAAGGGAAGGAACATTTTTTAAAGCACTTACTCTGTTGCTCAATGGACCTCATCACATTGAATCTTCACAAGAGGTTATCATCTTTATAGATGAGGAAATAGAAAGGTCAAGTAACTTATTTATGATTACAAAGTTACTACATTGGAGAATCAGCATTCAAACCCACATATATCTGACTTCAAAGTCCAAAAAATTCATTAAGGACAAGGGCCATGTTATCTAAAGTTCATGAATCCAGAGCTTGGCACCTAGTAGGTGCTTAAGAAATACTTATTAAATCAATGTATGAACAGCAGGATAGGAAGGAAACAGAGGATGGAATGCTGGCATACGGCCAAAAGGTAGGCAGTTGTAAGTCAGTGAAATGAACAAATAGGTAGCAGAAATAAAAACTGGGGTTAAAATGTCCCTATCCCACTTACAATTCCTGTCCTAAGACAGGAAATAACCACTCCTCCCTAAGATAGCTCCTTTTCTAAAGGAAAAAGACCCAAGGCCAGACTCTAGAATTACTGAGTCCTAAATTTCCCAACTAAGTATGTGCTCTAAACCACTCAATTCTCAATTAATGAGGTAGTGAATGAACTGAAGACATAAATGGTAAGCGCTTCAGTTTACTGAATACTTGCAACTTCCCAGGTGCAATGCTAGGTGCTTTCCTGTATCTCATTTAAGCCTAAGGACAACCAAATGAAGAAGTCACCATTAACCTCATTTTATAGATAAAAATGAACCTTATCTATAAGGTTCTTCAAAGACAAATAAAGATACTACAATGGCATAAAGAGCCCTGGACAGGGAAGTCAGATCACCTGGGTTCTACTCCCTGCTCTACCATCATCTTACTGTATGACACTAGGCAACTTTACTTTTTTTTTTTTTTTTTTGAGACGGAGTCTCGCTCTGTAGCCCAGGCTGGAGTGCAGTGGCCGGATCTCAGCTCACTGCAAGCTCCGCCTCCCGGGTTCACGCCATTCTCCGGCCTCAGCCTCCCGAGTAGCTGGGACTACAGGCACCCGCCACCTCGCCCGGCTAGTTTTTTGTATTTCTTAGTAGAGACGGGGTTTCACCGTGTTATCCAGGATGGTCTCGATCTCCTGACCTCGTGATCCACCCGTCTCGGCCTCCCAAAGTGCTGGGATTACAGGCTTGAGCCACCGCGCCCGGCCAACTTTACTTATTTATTTTTTGAGACGGAGTCTTGTTCTGTCACCCAGGCTGGAGTGCAGTGGCATGATCTCAGCTCACCACAACCTCTGCCCCTCGGGTTCAAGTGATTCTCCTGCCTCAGCCTCCTTAATAGCTAGGATTACAGGTATGTGCCACCACGACCCGCTAATTTTTTAAAAAATATTTTTAGTAGAGACAGGGTTTTACCATGTTGGCCAGGCTGGTCTCGAACTCCTGAAATCAGGTGATCCATCTACCTTGGCCTCCCAGAGTGCTGGGATTACAGGCATGAGCCACCACGCCCAGCCGGCAATTTAACTTTTGAACTTCAGTTTCATCATCCACAAAATTTACAGGATTGTGGGTGTCATTTAGATTATTTTAAGTATTTTAACAAAGCAAGGTGCAAAGTAATATGAGTAGTAGTATCCCTTTGGGGTATATGAATATATATTCCAGCACAGTTACATTTATGGAAAGGAAACAAGAAACCAAAGTACTTGTTTTAGGGGAGAGGAACTGTTTGGGAGGACTGTTAATTCCATTTTGCTTCTTCCCATAATAACGTTTGCATTTTCTAACCATGTGCACTTAAAAATATGTATTAACGGGTTATCTGAACAGTGAGATACTGGGTCATTTTTCTTCTTTATACTTCTCAGTATAAAGCCCTGATGTTATTTTCGGGAAAAAAAACAAAAACAAACAAAAAAAAAACCTGTTATTTTCAATTAATGCTGATTGGCCTAGTGTTCCTGAGTATTCAACAAATGCTTAGAGAGGACTACTATATGACAAACCTAATACTGGGAATTTCATTGCTGGCATTTGGTCTTCACATTGCCCAGTGAGGGAGGTGAGGTTGCCAGATGCATCATAAAGTCCCTTTTACAGACAAGGAAATCAAGGCCTGAAAGCCGGAATGACTACCCTGGTTCATAAAGTTTGACAGGAGCAGGGCCAATCTTAAGACCCAAGCCTCCCGCGTGATTGCTGCAAGGAGTCCCTTCACCTCAGTCATTCCAGGTCTGAACCACCCCAGCCCAGAGCAGCTTGCATGCCCCCGATATCATTCCCTTCTTTCCCTCCACAATCTGGAGATGCTGCTGGTGAGCGTCCCGCAGTGGGGCTTTCCCTGCATGTTCTGGAGGCGCCGTGCAATATAGCGGGGTCGAAGGTCTGCCCTCTCAGGTCACGGTTCCAAAGGCTTCCCCCACCAGCCTCATCCCAGACAACGTCAAGGCCTAGCTATCTTCAGCACCCACCCGCTCCAAACTTTCGGTGCAAAGAAACCCTGGGGAGGCGACTGAGCCATGGGCAGGGAGAAGGTTAGGATCTTCCCGCACCTGCCTCTCGGATGAGCACCTCTGGGGCGGGCGGCCCTCACCTCCACTTTCCGCGGCACTTCGGCTGCTCAGCACATGGGCCCTCAGCGTCCCCTCCCCTGCCACGCCCGTCGACTTTGTGGGAGATGTAGTCCAAGTGTAAAACAGCAGCTCAACCACGAATCTGATCTCTCAGCATGCTGGGAGTTGCAGTCCGCCGCTAGAAAGCTGGAAACAGGAAGTTTGGCGGGGTAGGAAATCAAGGAAACCAAAACACACCCTGAAGCATGTTGGGAATCGAAAGGCAAGCTGGTTAGGGCGGCCCGCCTGGCACATTCCCGCGCATGCTCTGCGTGGAGGCCGCTGGGAATTGTAGTTTCTAGAGAAGAAGGCTCCATTTTCTAGGTGGTTCTGGCTTCCTGTTCAAGGCGAAGGGCCGCCCTTACCAGACAGGGCTACAGCCAATGCTCTCCCTGACCTTCTCTGCTGGAGTGGGGGAAGAGCAGATTCAAAAACTGCCTGTAGCCTTTCTGGAGGAAGGGATGAAACGTGGGCCCTTCCAATGCTAGTAGCCGATCTAGTTACAAAATGTCAGATCTGGAAGGAAACAGAAATGATCTAAGCCAGTCATTCCACTTAACTCGGGGAGTACTATCGGGATTTCACCCT